ACAAGAAGCCGCTGTTGATTTGTGAGCAGAGGAGTTGCATGATAGAAGTAGGTTCCTGGCAAGCTTTCTTTTTTCATGCTTTCTCCACTGTTTATGTCTGCTGCTGACACATACATACTCATGGACAGTGCTTAACCCCAAGAATGGTACTCAGAATTAGTGTGGAAGAGTGTGTTTTTGTTTAAAAGGCATGTGGGAGGGGGATGGTGGGGTGGCCCAGTCAGTTGAGCATTGGACTCTTGTTTTCTGGCAAGTTGTGATCTCAGAGTCATGAGCCCTGTGTTGTTGTTGGGCTCTGCGCTCATCGCAGAGTCCTCAAGTTTCTCTTTCCCTCTCCCCTGCGCTCTCTCTCTCCCTCCCTCCAATAAATAAATAAATCTTTAAAAAACATGTGGGTTCCTTTTCTCTTACTTTGCAGTTGTTTGCTACTAATTGACTTCAGGGCTGCTCCTACAACACATTTTCAATAAGGATGTTTGGATGCCACAGAGTCTCCTTAAAAGAAAGGCAATACTTAAATCCAAGAGTAAAAAGAAGGGAGCCCGCGTCATTCTCTTACTTGTATTATGAAGCTCCTATTTACATGACTTCTAAAAAGTAGCTTCAAAAGTTTTCAAGTCTTTGTTCTTGCTGTAGTTTTAAAAATTGCCAGGCAGAGGGTGGTGGACTCCTGTTTTGATTGCCAACACACTGTGTTTGAGATTAACATGTGGAACTTCTATCTTTGGTGAAATTTAGGTTTTGGCCTTTCTGGGTCACTAGCACTCAGCGAGCCCACAGTGAACTCATCCATTCTGTCTTAGGCACTGTGGTACATGCCTTTGCACCAGTGACAGGAGGCAGACCTTATTTCTGTCACACAGTTACCTATTGGAGAGGCTTCTGAGAACCTAGTATAGTTATTGCCACATTGCTTAGTATCACTGTCATGGTGAAGCACAACTGGAAAGGCATGAGTGCATTTCTCTTCTTTTTATTTTGTTCTGCAAAAGCAGAAATCTTACCAGCAAAGCCTATTGAGATCCTGGTAAGAAATGCATACAACTGTGAAAGATTAATCATTGCAGCTGTTTTTCCCTTTTATCTAGTATATGTCATAATCTCATCCCTAGGAGTTGGGGTCCTTTTTGGGAATTTCTTAGATGGACCTAAGAAAACTAGATAAAAGAACTATAAAAATAATGCCTGCTGGTTTTTAACTTGTGGACAGTAGAATACACAGATACTGCTGGCATTGAAGCTGTTTTGTTAACAGTGAAGTATTTTCTGTCACCACTGCCCTGGAGGAAAATGCTAGAAAGATTCTAATTCTATATCCATAATTTATTATATTTCATTTGATCTTAAAATTGCATTCTGTCCTTGGACAAGAGCTGCAGATATCAAATGAGTTACAAGCATCCAAGTAAAAGAACATTCATGGGTGAATGCTAGTGGCTACATCATAGCTAAATCTTCCCGCAGCTGCTAATCACATCTGCATAGTGACTACTCATGGTGAAGTATTTCTCACACTGTGTAACATGGTATTATTACCATTAGTGAAAAATCCACATATCATTTTAGATTCCCCCAAATTGACCTCAATTTAATATAGTCAAATTAAATACAATAGAGGTCTTCTCCCATTTCTGCCATATTAAGGAAGGGATGGGGAAAATAATAAAAAGACCACCTAGTAAGAAATGCAAGTGCTCCAAAGGGCACCCAGAATCCATAATGAGAACCTGAGGGAAAAAAATCATACGTGACAGACACCTTGAGTTCCTTAAGGTCTGCTGAAATTAGGACTGCTGACAGACTTGAGTTGATCTCTCAAGATAGTCTATAGGACTTTAAGATCTACTTTGTATTTCTCATTGGGCTGTTCTCGGAATAGCAGATAATTAAAATGCCAGTAACATTTCTTGAGTGCTTATATTTGTCTAAGTACTTCACATGGAATGCTCCCTACTTCACGGATGCAGAAACTGGGGCACGCACAGAGAGGCATATGTTACTTGTTCAGGGTTACACAGCTAGAAATCTAGGATTCAGAGCCAGGCATTGTGAGTGAGAGCTTGTGCTCCACCCCTCTTCCCCAACCTAGGAAGAAAAATGACTTAGAACATTTGCTATTTTCCTTTCAGGCACAACTACGGAGTTTTTAAAAAACAAAGTTGGCATAGTTAAAAACAAACTATATATATAAAATTATATGTTGGAATTTTTAAACTTAGCTCGAGACAATGCTTATATTTACCATATATTTACGGACACCCTTCATGATGACTACACAGTCTGCCATGTGAATGTGTATGTTCTGTTCTCTCACTTTGGGGTATTTGGCTTCTAAATTCTATTTCTCTCCCTCTTCCTTAATTTTTAATTAGACCCATGAAGCATCTTTTGTGTAAAAAGCTTTGTTTGCCTTTAAAATTGCTTTTTAATGATAAGATCTCAAGGGTGAAATTGAATTAGTGTATATCATTTTGAATCAGTTGATAGATGTTTTTGCTAAATTGATTTCACTAATGAATTATATATCAACTTGCATATTATAAGTGTATGAGAGTACTCATTTTACCTAATCCTTATAAACACTGAGTATTCTCTTAAAAAAATACTAAATTCTGTTGTATTTGTAAAATTTTGCGTTTCTTGCACACCGAGGCTACTTTTCGTATTCTACACAGCTTTGATGCATTTGACTGAATTAGATAGAAATGGACAATATTGTGAATGTACTAAATGCCACTAAATTGTTCATTTAGATGGCTAATTTTATGTTATGTGAATTTCTCCTCAATAAAAAGTGTTTGTGTACATGTGTATGCACGTGCAAATGTGTCTCTGTGTCTGCCTTGAGTGTAAACTCTCAGGCAGGGAGAACTGCTGTGTCATGCTTTGGTGGTGAGCATCAGGAATGCGACACTTTTCTGCGTAATGCTCTGAGAGACTGAATTGAATGTGTAATGTGTGCTCCTTTTCTTCCTGCCAGTTATTTGGTGTATTGCTGACAAATTTGGGCATATAATGGATTAACACTGAGTGATAGTGTTTGATCCACCTTGAAGGCAGAGTATCCTGCTGTATATTAACATGCAGGTTTTATGGTTGCCTGAGGAACTATCAAATAAGCAGTGCAGGAAACAGGGTAAATATCAACCCAGTTAGGAAACGTTGTAAACTGCCTGACATGTGAAGGGCATCGTGAGTGTCCCAGTGTCCTGGGAAAAGTGGCCAACAGTGGTGTGACTGGTAGCTAGAAAACCCTACAGCTAAAGTCTTACCCTAAGTGGAAGGAAGACTGCTGGCCAGAGCACTCGGCTGGAAATGCATGTGTTGCAGAACTCACCAGAACCTGGGTCAACCTAGGTCTGCCCTCTCAGACCCTTGCCTGCCCCTGGGTCTTTCTGCCCCAACCAGGGTTGTAGTATTTCCTTTTCCTCTTTTTAAACTAGTCTGCTGGCATCCTTTATGTATTCCTGTATTGAGACTAAATGATCTTAACATTTGTGGGAACTCTCTATTAAGATTGTTAAACCCTTTGCCATTCATATTTATTGTAAATTGTATCCCTAGTTGTTTGCTTTTGAAAATGTGGAGTGCTTGTGTTTAAATCCCTATAACTTACGAATTTCTGTCTTGTGTCTGTTGATTATTTCTTTTGGTCTTTTATCACCAATCTCAGCCTTTCCCTGTCCAGTGATTGATAAATACATAATGTATTCTCTTCACTTAAAAAAATTTGGGAGGGGTGGAATTTGTAGTCTAAGGTAAAAATCTGAATTGTTCCTATATTGCTAGCTTCCTTAGCTATTCTTATAGGTAAACGTTAGATTAATTACATTAAGTTCCAGATTCAGTTTGGGTTTTGATTTGAAGTGTGATAAAAGTTAATTTGGGAAGAATTGACACTTTTGTGGTATTCAGTCTTACCATCCAAAGGCCTGTTTTACATTTCTTTCTGATTTTTTCACTTTTCACATAGGTTACACCTATTTTTTATTTGAGGTTTTTATAGATGTTTTATTTCTATTGTGAAAGAGTCTTTCCATATATTTTGATCATTATTGGTACCTAGAAATAGTTAATAGTTTTGTGTATTTATCTGGCAGCTGGTCAACTGCTCGAATTTAGTCAATGTTAATAATTTTCAGTCATTTTTCTTGGGTTTTCTATATATAATTATATGCTTAGAAAAAAAATTTTCCCCAGTAGTTAGACTCCTTATTTGTTTCATTCATTTTTTTTTTTACTAGATGGATTTAGAAAAATATTAAAGGAGTCTCTTATCCCTAGAGATAAGAAATACTGAATTTTATTAGTTTTTGCTTCTATTAAAATAATCATATAATTAAGATAATCATTGATTTCTTGCATAATATGTTACCTTGATTTTCTCTTTCGGCTGGCCTGGTCCTAAGGATGATTAACATTATGTTAAGGTTTAACTCTACTATTGCCAATAGCAACAGGTCAGAGCTGCCTTCCTGTCCTTAAGGAAAAGTGGCATAATTTCACTTGTGTAATTTTAACCCTTAAGTGAAATGGAAGAAATGCATCTGAATTTTTAAGTTTTAGGGGGAGGGTTAATTTTTAGACTATTTTGCTTCATTCAGGATGCCCAGATGTTAAGGTTGAAGTAGCCTTTTTTGCATATGCATAATATCACATGTAAAAGTCTTTTATCTATTCTGGAAATAGATACCTTATTTTATATTGAGGAAACCAAAATGAGATAGATTATTGAATTTCCTGTTTTCAAATTAAAGTCCACATTCTTCTCTGAGGAGGAATCAGTAAACTTAAGAATACAATGATGTCTGTTTTCTCCCCCCTTTTGTACCTGGGGAGGGAAGGAAGATTGAATTTCCAATCAGTGTCTTTATCTTTCATGTAATAATAAAACAATAATTAAATAATAATAGCTGAAATTTCTTGAGCACCGAGTGTGTGTCAGACCTTATCCTACAGAATTTGTGTATTAGCTGACTTGTTCTCCATAATTGTGAGGAAGAGGCTGTTACTATCCCCTTTTATAGAAGGAGAAACTGAAACAGATCAACTGACTTGTGTAAGGTTCGTTGCTTGTAAGAGGCAGAGCTGGGATTTGATTCCAGGCAGGCAGAGTATTCCGAGTCCTTTTGTTTTTTGAAAATACTGTTTTATTAATACTACAGTGGTAAACAACTTTATGCTTATGTTTCTTTATAGATCACTGAATCACACAAAATTCAAAACCCACAAGGAAGCTTAAGAGTCTTTACATTTAATGTGTCCTTCCTGAAAATCCTTAACTGTATGCCAGTCTGTCTTCAAGCATTAAAATTTGAATATGCACCATTTTTTAATTTATTATGTCACATTTACATAGCAAAATAATGAAGGCACAGCTAATACAAGCAAACTTAAACCCTTCTACTTCTGAGCTGGGGGTGGGGACACACACTTGTATTGGTTCTTCAAGTATTTATTTTTTCCAAACATTAGCTTCATTGAAGAGTTCTGATAATTTTCACAGCTACATTCTAAAAGCTACATGACAAAAAGACTTCACAAGGATCAAACTACATAAAACACTGAATACACATGCTTTACAGGATTTGCTACATTCTACATCTTTTCAAGTAAATTAATATTTCTAGAATGCTAGGTAAAGGGATTGAATACTTAAAACATTTTGGTTTTTTTTTTTCACCTTTGTAAATAGACGCTACCAAGAAAACACATAAACACAAGACTGTAAATAACGAACACATATGTTGACAATATTATACAGGTTATACACCCTCCTTCTCAGAACCATGTTGCTTGTCTTAAATTCAGATATTCAGAACATTCTTTAGAATTTGAAGTGGCAGTTTTCCAGACCTCATTACACAGTACTGTCATGATCTCCATCACAGGCTTCCACAATTCCATCACTCTTCTCTGAAGTGTAAAGCTGATGTGTGGGTTACAAAAGCAAAGACTTAAAGATGAGAGTCTTCTGCTTTTTCTGCACTGGAGAATGTCCGGACTAAAGAAACTGAAGAATTAAGCATTGAGAACATGTTCATTCAGTCTTGGTCTGGGTGTTGCGTGTGTAGTGTGATGGTGGTGGGATGAATAGGTTTCAAAGTGACATTCTTCACATCTACTTGACACCCTTAAGCCTCAATTGCAGTCCGTGCAGAAGAGATCATGAAAAAAAAAATCATTTTAAATTTAACTTGTTTTCTTCAACACCTTTTGATACACATTTATTGTGTTCAAAATGAAAAATTTGAAACGGGCTGGCCAGGATCTGATTGCTTCAATTTAACTTAATTTTAGGAATGTCAAAATTGATTCACATTGTATTTTGGTCCCAAACCTGAGCCTTATTTTTAAGTCCACCAATATTCAAAAAAAGAGAAAGAAATAAATAAAATAGGGGGTTTTGCTTTCGTCGTCACTCTTCCTCTTCAATCTCTGGCCCTGCTTATTTCTTGGCGTCGTCAGGCACTGCAGAGTGGGGACCCTCATCTTTGGCAGCCGCCGCCTCCACAGCAGCCTCTGCCGCAGCTTCCTCCTCCTCCTCCTCCCCCTCCTCCTCATCCTCCTCATCCTCGTACTCTTCCTCGTCGTCGTCCTCCTCCTCCCCCTCTAAGGTCCATGCACACCCCTCCATCTCACCGGTGAGCTCCTGGATCTTGGCAAGTAGGGGCTTATAGATGTCGTTATACTTCTTTTCCAGAGCCTGGAATTCCTTATCAAATTTGGCTTCTATCTTATCGCAGCGCTTCTGCAGCTTCTTGAGGGCCAGGACTCGGCACTTGACCGAATTAGGCAGGCTCTCGATAAAGTCATTTTTGGGCTTTGGCGCGTTGTCCGCGGGGGTCTGGGGCTCCTCGGCCGTCTGCCCGGCCGCGCTGTCCGAGTCCCCGGCCGCGCTGTCCGAGTCCCCCCGCTGCGCGCCGCCTTCCGCCATTACCTCCTCCGCCGCCTCCGCCGCCGCCTGGCTCGGCTCCGCAGGCCCCTGGTTTTCCGAGTCAGCCATGTTCCAGAAGCAGCTGCGGAGGTCTAGGGTGGCTCCCGCAGAGACCCGCGCCCGAGCTGCACCGGAGCGGTCCTGCGGCTGCGGCAAGCGGCGGTGACGTCGGCCGCGGCGGTGACGTGGGCCGCGGCCCCGCCCTCCTGCCGCCCGCCGCCGACTGGCCTTCCGCCGTCAGCTGACGGGCTTGCCCCGCGGACTGCGCCCGCCGCCCCTGCTGCTGCCGCCGTGCCGTGCACGCGCTGACGTCAAAGCCCGTTTCTTAGGTACTCGCCCCCTCAGAGCTGGGCGGGCAATGGCAGCAGGTGCCCAGGGCCCCCTCTTCAGGACCGCTGGGGCGGCGTCCGCCCCCTTGAGTTTGCTTCTCTGCCCCGCTCGCGTCCTTCGATGCCGCCTCCAGGTCTGTCTGTCTCGGCCTTTGCAGGACCGCACAGCTGGCGTGGGGCTGGTGTCCGTGGCTTTGACCGCCTCCCTTCCAGGAGGCGAAGGCGCGGGAGAGCCGACTCTTCTACCCACCCTTCGGGGACCTGGGGGCCTTGTCGGAGAGGGCAGCTTCCCCGGGCATATGCCCACCCGGCAGCCTTCCGGGTCATCCTCAGCTTAGTGGCATGTGTATCGGCGGCACGGTCTCTTGGGAGCAGTTTTGCAGCCATTTGGGTAGGGAGTCTGAGGACCCTCGGTATTCTGGGGTGTGTTCTGGAAGTTCCCTCAGATCTTTGTCCTGAGGGCAGGAATAAAGCTGGAGAACCGCCAAAGAAAAGCAAGGCCCTCTAACGCCCGGGGCCGGGGCAAGGGCCGCGTCTCGCTCACGTCGCTCACGGTGAAGCGCTCACGGTGAAGCGTGTGCTCAGCTCCGCTGCTCAGAGGGGCACCCCCGTGTGCTCTCAGACGTGGTCGCCCAGTGCACTCCGCGGCTCAGTCCGCTTTGTGGTCTTGCTGCTGATTGCGTCTGAGAACATTTTTTTTAAAAAGGTCCTAACTAGAGAAATCTCCTTTTCTAATAGCAGGGTGAGTAGTCATTTTATTTTACTTCTTTACCTTGCTTTTATCAGGCCAAATGTAGCTTCTTGAATTAAAGATGACTGCACTTATTTTAGGTATGGAAGAAGACGAATGATCCTCCCAGGGATTCCTTAGGAATGTTTTCAAATTCGACATTATTGATTTAAAAGTTTTTCATTCACCAGATTGGGACTTACTCAAGCTCTTCCATCAAGCATATGAATGTTAGCAAATTACTTCCCAAAGTACATTTGATGTTATCTTACGGTTTTTATGAATATTAGTTAATATGTAAAGCACTTAATGCTGAGACGTAGCAACCACTTGATGTGTTTTAATGTTTTTTTTTTAACAAAACAATTGCATTCGTGAATATGCAAGGTAACCTGCATTAATATTCCCTTTTAAGAAGGACATGTTTGTGCCCTTCCCCCAAAGAAAGGAACCATTTACAAAAAGCCCAATATATGGGATCCCTGGGTGGCGCAGCGGTTTGGCGCCTGCCTTTGGCCCAGGGCGCGATCCTGGAGACCCTGGATCGAATCCCACATCGGGCTCCCGGTGCATGGAGCCTGCTTCTCCCCGTGCCTATGTCTCTGCCTCTCTCTCTCTCTCTCTCTGATGACTATCATAAATAAATAAATTAAAAAAAAAAAAAAGCCCAATATATTCCCATTAGCAGACATTCTAGGGTGTTTTTGTTTGTTTATGTATTGGTGATTCTTGTTGTCTGTTTACTTTCTTAATTCTGCTCCAGTAATTTACTTTCCCCTTTTCTGTTACCATTTGTAGTGACTGGGTTTTATTGGTAAGGCTGACATTTCAGTCTTAGCTCTGACTGAAATTAATGTGATAATACATCTATATTTAGTTGGCTGACATTATACATATTCTATATGTCACCCATTGTTAGGAGGTGGAGGGATCCCCCAAACTGAGAATGATTCCCCAAACTGAGAAGGTACTTTGAGACCAGAAGATGAAGCAAGCCACTCCAAACAGTTTACACAGGGTTTTGTTCAGGGTAACTTACTAATAGAGGGGATTGGGTGGGGGATGATCCATGGCAGCTGCATAGTTACTCTCTGCAAAATCCAGACCATAGTGCCAGATTCTAGAGAGTGAGGAGCCACACAGGAGAGCATTATGGTGAGTCAGAGGGTTTGCATACATCTCAAAGGGCTTGCATGCACCTGATAGCTCACCTTTAATTGGATCTTGTGACACCACCTTTGCATCAGGAAGGGAAAGACCAAGGGACCCCTGGGTGGTTCAGCGGTTAAGTGTCTGCCTTTGGCTCAAGGCATGATCCTGGTCCAGGGATCGAGTCTCACATCAGGCTCCCTGCAAGGAGCCTGCTTCTCCCTCTATCTCTCTGCCCCCACCCACTCTGTCTCTCATGAATGAATTAATGAATGAATGAATGAATGAAAAACTTTAAAAAAAAGTGAAGGGGAAAGAACCATGTTATCTCTAACACATCCATGGGCCATCCTCATGGGCCTCCTCATGGGCCTCCTCATGGGAGGCCAAAACAAGCCTCCCCCATCTGGGCCTTGGTGGTGAATTCTAAGGTATGTAGATTAATTTCCAAGGGGCCTAAAACATGTAGCCCCAAGAATGGTCACTGAGCAAACATGAGAAAGATGGAAAGCCAAAGACTGAGTCAGTATTGTCAGCATTCCTACACCTGTGTATTCTGTTTATCATCTCCTGATGTTTGCAGTTATCTTGAAGTTAGGAATACCTTTTCACATTTTAAAGATAAGGAACTTTGAAGCAGAAAACTAAAATGAAGTAAATATTTTGTTACTATATGTATTACTTGATTGGCATAATCAGAGACAGAAAGTGGGCCTTTTAACTCCTATAGTGTAGAAATTGTGACAGACTTTTAAAAAAGCCCCACCTTTAATAAAATCCGTATGACCTATTTGACTTACTTGAGACAAATAGGATGTGCTCATCTTTCAGGATTTTTATGTTGTCTTAAAAAATCTTAAAATTTCGTGTTAAGCTAGGTCTGTTCTATTGAGATAGGATTTATATATTATAAATAGATGTATTTCATGTATAATAAGAATATAATTAATTGATGTGTAATAAAATTCATCCTTTGCTTTGGCAAATGCAATCATGTAAACACTACACTAATTGAGATGCAGAATAGTAGCATCATCCCAAAATACTCCATCGCAGTCCTTCCCTTACTGTCAGCCCTGGTGACCACTGATCCATCTCTAAAAATTTTTTATTCCAGAATGTCCTATAAGCAGAATCATATGTGTGTGAACTTTGGAGTCTGGCCTTTTTGACTCAGTATAATGCATTTGAGATTTGTCCGTGATGTTGTACATTAGTCATTTGTTCCTTTTTATTACTGAGTAATATTCCCATTTGGGTTTCCAATTTTTTGTGATTATAAAAAATGCTGTAGCGAACATAAGTTTTTATTTCTCTTGGCTATGTACCTAGAAGTAGAAGGTTTGGTCATATGGTAAATATACATTTAACTTTTTAAGAAAGTTCCACGGTTTTCCAAAGTGACTATACCTTTTTATTTTCACATCAGCAATGTACGAGTTATAGTTACTCCACATCTTCAACAGCATTTGGTATTGTTGGGTTTTTTTCCCCCTAATCTGGTAGCTGTGTATGGTATCCTTAATGGCTAATGATGCTGGGTATCTTCTGATGTATGTGTCATTCATGTATCTTCTTTGATGAAATGTCAGTTTATAGCTTTTGTCCATTTTCTGAGTTTTTTGCTTTCTTATTTTTAAAAGGCTTTATAGATTCTAGATACAAGTCCTTGTGAAATACTTTCTACCAGTCCATAGTTTGTCTTTTTCTTCAAAAAACAAAATCAAAATTTTGATAACTTTTTTCTTTTATGGATTGGGCTTTTGGTGTCATGTCTAAGAGATCTTTGCCAAATCTAAGATCATAAAGATTTGTTCGTTTTGTTTTTAAAAAAAATTAATTTTGGGCAGCCTGGGTGGCTCAGCAGTTTTAGCACCACCTTCGACCCAAGCCGTGATCCTGGAGACCCGGGATCAAGTCCCACATCGGGCTCCCTGCATGGAGCTTGCTTCTCAACCTCTGCCTGTGTCTCTGCTTCTCTCTCTCTCTCTCTCTCTGTGTCTGTCTGTCTCTCATGAATAAATAAATAAAATCTTTTTTTTAATTTTAATTTCATTTAATTAGCATATAATGTATTATTAGTTTCAGAGGTAGAGTTCAGTTATTCATCAGTTGTATATAACACCCAGTGCTCATTACATCATGAGTCCTCCTTAATGGTCATTACCCATTACCCTATCTCCCCCTCCCAGCAACCCTATTTGTTTGCTGTGGTTAAGAGTCTCTTATGGTTTGTCTCCCTCTCCGATATTATGTCTTGTTTTATTTTTCCCTCCCTTCTTCTATGTTCCTCTGTTTTGCATCTTAAATTCCACATGGAAGTGAAATCATAAAATTGTCTTTCCTCTCATTGACTTATTTCACTTAGCATAATAGTGAAATTTAGTTCCACCCACATCGTTGCAAATGGCAAGCTTTCATTTTTTTGATGGCTAATGTTCCATTGTATATTTATACTACATCTTCTGTTGATGGACGTTTGGGTTCTTTCCTTAGTTTGGCTATTGTGGACATTGCTGCCATAAACAGTGGGGAGCAGGTGCCCCTTTGGATCACATTTGTACCTTTGGGGTAAATACCTACTAGTGTAATTGCTGGGTCATAGGGTAGCTCTATTTTTAACTTTTTGAGGAACCTCCGTTCTGTTTTCCAGAGTGCCTGTCCAGCCTACCAGCAGTGTAAGAGGGTTCCCCTTTCTCCACATCCTTGCCAACATTTGGTATTTCTTGACTTGTTAATTTTAGCCATTCTGACTGGTGTGAGGTGGTATCTTATTGTGGTTTTGAGGTGTATTTCTCTGTGCTGATGATGTGAAGCATTTTTTCATGAGTCTGTTGGGCATTTGTGTGTCGTCTTTGGAGAAATGTCTGTTGGTGCCCATTTCTTGACTGAATTTTTTGTTCTTTGGGTGTTGAGTTTGATAAGTTCTTTTTAAAAAAAAAAAAGATT